GTTACATTTTTTTTATTTGCTCCACATGTCAGTGGAATTTTGAGGTGCATGCTTTATTGTCTGTTTGATACTCTAAGTGTAAGCATCGTGCGTTTCCCCTGTCCAGTCGCTGACGGTGGGATGTGAGACGGTGGATATGACGCTGAGAAGAAACGGACTGGGACAGCTGGGCTTTCACGTTCGCCTAGATGGCACTGTAGCTGAGGTAACGTCAGATGAGCAGATCTCTGTGTGTGTGGCTGATTTTTTTCATAAATGTCCAACATATTATTATTTCTCCTTTCAGGTGGAGGAGTATGGCTTCGCCTGGCAGGCAGGACTGAGACAAGGCAGTCGATTGGTTGAGATCTGCAAGGTGGCCGCTGTGACGCTGACTCACGAGCAGATGATTGACCTGCTGAGGACGTCGGTCACAGTGAAAGTGGTCATCATTCCTCCGATTGAAGAGGGCGGACCGCGCAGGTGTGTGCACAGAGCATTAAACAGCTGAAATAATGAGCGAGTGGTTTGTAAGCAGCTATAAATACAGATGTTAAGGCAGAGGAGAGGGCTGTGTGGAAGTGGGCTGTATTGAGGACTAGTGAGCTACAATGAGCTGAAGATGCTTTTCACCTTAACACACAAAAGCTTTGGCGAGGTAGTGGCCAGACTCCAGTGTTCTGGGAGGATATTGTGTGGGAGTGTGTGAAAAGAGGAAGCGAGCTAACAGAGAAACAGTCATATGTAGCTGGAGTGGAAACGGGCAGAATAAGGCATCGAGACAGAAATAGCATTTGTTTAACATGAATTGGCTAAATCTGCTGTTCTTTGTCTCTTTCCCTCGTACCTATCTAATCCACTGTGTCATAATCTTGCCAACAGTTTCTCAGCCGCCACTCTTTTCTGTCTACACATCAGGTATTTAGTGAGACGGAATAAAGCAGCTTTATGTGGCACATAGGCGTCGCAACCATTATATTTGAAGGGGACAAGTCCCCCCCACATTAAAAAAACGTTCATTTGTACCCCCCCACGTTTACTATAAAACATTAGTTCAGGCGGCGCAGTTTCTCTTTCTTCATGAACGAATCCATTCCACTTGATTAATAGGAGAATACTCAAGCTACTAAAACTCCACTCCAGGTTTTCCTGGTTACCTCCAACTCTCCACCGGTCCCTTCCTGCCTCTTGTCTCGGTAGAAATCGTGCACAGGTGAAGGAGGTGGAGGTACCTGTGTTACTCGCTCGCCAGTTTAGCAGCTTAGTGTGGGCAGTGGTTGACCAGGGGGTTGATCATAAACATATATTCATGTTAGGAGGAGAGAAGAGGAGCTACGTCTGTAGCATCTTCTCTCAGCATTAACTGTCAGCATTAACTGTGATGCTGTAGCTGCAGGTGGAAGAGACGCTGTGTGTTCAGGTGCATTAAAGTTGAAGTTGAAGTTAAAACCCCACACCTTATTGTCCTCAAGCTTCATGAGAAACATCATTTAGATGAGGAGTGTTGAACACAAGTAAAAAAAAGTCCAGTGGTGATGTTTTTAATTTCTCTATAAAGACAATTAGTGTCGATCTGACGCTCTGTATTAAAGTGTATTAAAGTTAAAATGTCTTTAAAATCCACAGATGAATTTACACAAACTTGGTGAGAAACATGTTTTAAATGTGTGGAATTGAAGGAAATCTAGGTGAAATGCTGCTTTTTTATTCACTAGTGAACACCTTTTTTTTTACGTGCGCACACACGTGCACGCGCACACACACGCGCGCGCACACCTACACACATCATTGTGTCCCCCCCACATTATGGATGCTTCCAACGCCCTTAATGTGGCATCACAGAATGGTTACCCTCATGAAAAAAAAATAGGCACACTGCGTTTTTCTGAGCACCTAAAGACTGTAATTGTGGTGAGCTGTGTGATCGCACAGTGGTTAGATTCCTTTAATGTTGAAGGCAGTTTAATTACTCTAAGTAGAAACCCCGTCACACACACACACACTATGTGCTGTGGCCTTGAAGCAGCTGATAATTTAGAGTCTTGTGTTTCTCTCATCCTCACTGACTCGTTAGCTGTTGTGCGCCAGGCGAGCAGAATGCACGAGATTAGGGGCTTGAAATCTGTAGAGGGGGAAAAAGACCACAAAAAGGACAAATAAATAAACGGAGCGGAAGTAATTAATTAAAAATGCATGCCATGTGCAAATGGAAAAGAAGGGGGGAGGGTCTGTGTGGTAGCAGGAGAGAAAGGCTGGGAGGAGCTCTCGATGAGGAGGACGCATCTCAACACCACCCAGAGTAAGAGGAGTGGGCGGAGGAGAGAAAAGATGAGATGAAAGTTGGAAGGATCTGTCTTCGCTGCTTTGTCTAGGCTGCGAAAACGCAAGATGGATGGATGCAGGCGGAAAAAGATGTGGCTCTGAGTGTGTGTGCGCGCGTGTTGAGCTTCAGCTGTCACCTCGGTTAATGTGATGGGAGAATTACTGCGCGCTGTCAGACGTAGGCTCTGCTCTCTCTGAGGTTTGTATTCCCAACATGTGCTCGTATTTCCTGCTGTTCATACTGATGCTCTCAGAAGTATTCACTGGTTATAGTGCGTTTATCCCATGTTGCATCCGTGCACATTGCTTTTCCCTAGAAATCTGCATGTTGTTTCTGTGTGCATCTTCATCCTGTTTACATTTCTGAAGACCTGCAGCCAACAGTTGTCTCTTTGTTGATTTGATGTCTGGTTTTTTCTTAAACTGAACAATTTTTCTTTGTCTGTAAAATGCCCTGAGTAAATTCACGAAGCAAACTGATACATTCATGTTTCACTCAAGTGTTTAGTCTGTTTAATCATTTGAACATTGAGCAACAGTGGGAAATATCCAACGGCAGTGATTTATGATTATTAATTAGGATTCTTTTTCTGTGGTTGTAAACTGATTAGAAGTGGGATCCTGACTTTGGGTTAAATAACACAAGGCGATTAAATATTTTCTCCTGGACTGCTAGTTTATAAACAGTGGTTAAAAACTATAATCAGATATTTTACAGACATAAGCCCAGTATATTAGTGTAGTGTTGTTAATCCAATACACTCCCCTCATCCATCACTTTGCAGTCCCACTTCTTTTTTTAATCACATCCATGCCTATGTTGAAATTTTAGTTTTTTGCTCACTTGAACACTTCATCACTCTGCTCATTTCCTTTTGTCTCCTCATCTACATATTTAATGCCAGCTGCCTTCAGGTAATAGTTGTGGATGAAACATTGATATAAACATTGATATACGGAGTGATCAACTCGTCAGGGGCTACTTAAAAATGATGGCATATTTTAGGTGTTTTGGTTTGAGTCTTGAGTTGATAAAGATGTCCACCCCTCCATCTGGGTTTTACATCCATCCATCCATTATTTTTATCCACTTATTCCTTTTCGGGTCACAGGAGTCACTGGTGCCCATATCCAGCAGTCACTGTGCGAGAGGCAGGGGACACCCTGGACAGGTCGCAAGTACATTCATTTGGGGGGGGGGGGGGGGGTTACAGTTTATTGATTAAAATGATAGTCAACTTGCCTTCATTTAAATACGTTCTTATTGCATTTGTTTTTAAGCCAGAAGAATTAATATTTGTTATTTCAAGAAATGTAGACATTTACAAGACATGGACTTTGTCGAGCATGACTGCACGGTGTCGTCGGTATTAGTGATGTGGAGCTTCTAGATGAGATCTAAGGATCTGTAACTCTTTCTCACCCACAGACACGAGACAGAATCAATCTCACAGCGAGTAATATGGAGACTTGATGTGACAATAATCAGCTTCCTTTTATCATTTTTTTCACCCACTGGTCTCAAGAGAGCTCATTAGTGAGATTTGTAGCATGTCTGTTTACATTTGAGCATCCAGAAAATGTTATAATAAAAGTAACAAAGTATTCAAACCATTATTGAGTCGGTTGTACACTGTAGATGGACATGCAGTGCAAGATGTTTACAGTACAAAGTTCTGTTCTATACGTCTTGTCCTCTCATTAGGGGGTGCACAGAGGAGTATGAGATGAAGACCATGGAGCAGAAACCTGAGCCCGAGTCTCTGGCAGCAGGATATCGACCCTCCCCTCGCCAGACCTGGAGATGGGAAAGCTCACCCATTCCTCCAGGGCTCCACAGTGCTCCCATCCAACAACGCTGGACCCCCGTTGGTGCCCCACCTCCTCCACTGCCCCGCTCACACAAGGCCCTGATGCCAGCTCCCTACAGAGAACCACAGCACCTCGCCTCCAAGAGGTACTCCCACCTACTTTAGATTAGACTGCCTCAGATCTTTGCAATAGTCACAAGACGAAGGGAATGAACGAGTTTTAAGAAATGGCAGAAAACAAAAAGCTGTCAGTTTACATTTGTTTTTTAATTGTTTTTAAAAAAAATGTTATACCCATATTCTCCTTTTTTTAAATAACCAACATGACTTACATTACATATTTCATCTTAAAGTCCAGTTAGCAGTTTCCTGGTTTTCCTAATTAATCCCATAATAAGTAATATAAATTTGTCTGAATAGTTACATGAGGACAATGATAAATTCGAGACAGGAGGTTAATCTGCACAAATTACACCCGGGCATTGTTTTATGTCGACTATCAACAGGTTTTAAAAAACAATATAGGATCAGTCTTAATAATTTATAAATTAGTATATGTCTAATGACAGATGTCGGAATATCAGATCAGACTGTGTGGTTTTCAGTGGTGTCACGTTGTTTTATTGTTTTACTTACATGGCGTGTTTATCTTCTGTTCAAGGGTTTTGAAGTCATGGTTTCTATCATGAGTTGCAGTCAGGCTGATATTTATCAAGCGTTTACAGCCATTTGTACGGACAAATGTTGATGTTGGTTTCAAGTAGCTCCTGATGAAACGATCTGTTTTACTAACCTGGTTCTTGAGGAGTTGATCGCTTTCCTCACATTTTTTCCCCTCATGTGTGTCACGGCATAACTAACTGGATTCAGTCCAGTTTAAGAGACTGAGCTGAAAACAGCACCTCAGACTGAGGAAGTCTCTTGGATGAGAGACGAAACGTTTCTAGATTTCTTTTGCTTTGTTTTGCTTTTGTTTTTTTTGAATGTCCAGAGGACCAGATTGAACTTTTTTGGATTTTTCTACCTGGATTATTGAGCATGCATCAGGATAACTGGATTCAGGTTTCTGAAGCCAATCTTTTTTTTTTTTTTTAAACCGCCATCTTCATTGTGCTTGTTGAATCATTATTTGTAAAACTCCTGATTTATCTGATATTCTTTGCATTCACATTCTTAGCAGTTCCACCCTATAAACCTCCAGAATAGTTATAATTAGGGATGCACAATATTGAATTTTTGGCCGACATGTTAAAGCATATTTGGCCGATAAGTGATACCGATATTTTTATAGACTTCTTCCTCTCCGCCATGATCAGATCAGGTAGATGCGCATGACGTCATCACGTTGTGTTGCCGCTGCAGGCATCCTTGTCACTGGGTTGTCATACAAAAACAGCGTCTTTTATATCATTGAGTTATTTTGATAGAATGGCCGATGTACGATATTTAACTTTAATGCTAATGTCGGCCGATACCGATACCATGCCGATAATATCATGCATTCCTATCTATAATACTAGATTTCGTTCAGGAACTGGAATCAAATCAGACTCTGAAACAGTTTATATGTAGATGTTGTTGACCAGCCCAGGTTTGCTTCATAGATTGTCTTTAGTCTGTGACTTCATTTGTCTTCAGTGTGAAAATTCAGTTTATGATCTTACAGTCAGAACTGGCCTTTAATCTGTCTACGTTTTATTTTTATTGATATTTTTGTTTATATTGCCGTCTAAACTGGCTTCTCTATAATATTAGCTTTTAAGAAATTTAAAAACAGAATTAAAGGTTTAATATTTTTACATTTGAATAAGCATCTTCAGGCTAACTCACATAGGTGGATGACGCTGACTCTTCCTGTCAAACCTTCAGCTGGAACAACATATTTATTGTGACAACTGATTGGGCATCCAAAAAAGTTCAATCTGGTCCTCTGGACATTCAAAAAAACTTATTGGACAGTTTTTGTACCCGCTAAAACAAGACACATTTTTGAGCAAACTCAACAATTTAGGCCCAAGTAGGTGTTATTTACTGTGATTCATGCATTTTCACTTCATGTACGCTGTAATGTGAGCTGGTGTGACACTGCCCACTTATTTCAGCCTTTTTGGGCGCCAGTTTTATTCAAATGCATCTCTACAGTCGGTTTAACCACCGCCCCTTGTTTCCTTTAGGCCAGTGAGTTACCCTGAGAACCACTACAGCTTGTCACCTGCAGGCATGGCGTACAGCAGAAACCCCTCAGCCAGCTTTTCCTCCCCCTCCTCAGGCCTGGTGGGGCTCGCCACCATGGGGTCACCTGGAATGACACCAGGCCCCTTTGTACGCTACAAGCCTTCACCCGACAGGTGAGTACACGTGAGGCTTTTCGTTCTCTGATCTCTCCTCCATCACCTCTTAGTTCTTGACTAAACGTGCCAAATGTTGCTGATAACACCTGTTTATTGTGCTGGAGGCAGATTATATCAGTTTAAAGGAGATGATGATTAACGTGGCTCGTTCGAGTCTGCAGCTTGAGATGTGTAAACACACCGTCTTCCAGAGAAAGGATCTGTTGTGTGGGTGGCTCTTCCTCGCAGTGTGGAGGTTGATAACATCTCACCCAACCAGAAAAACGTGTTTATTCAACCGCCAACAGGATACAGAACAGAAACTGAAGATCTCCTCCAATAATCATTTACAGACTGTACATCTTTCCAGACTTATTGATGAAGAATTTTCCTGTCCAAACGCTATTGTTTAGTTGTATTATTTCAGAAACGTGCATAAACAGATTTGCTTATCACTCTCATCTCATTCAATCTATATAGATATGGATCAGTACAGCGCCCCCTGCTGCCCTACGAGCCCCACCTCAGTGTGGACCTCATCTCCAGTGGAGAGTCTTCATCAGGATTCACGAGCCAGGACAGCACCATGGAACGCTGCAAAACAGGTACATCAGCTTCAGTTTAACAAAATGTTAAATTGTTATTTATAAAAACAAGTCAAATTGAATAAATGTGCCCTTCATGTATTACTTTGAGGTAAACAATGATTTTAACCAAATAGTTGCTCACTCAGTGCTCTGTATGTCGAGCTTTGTAGAGCTTTCTTGGTTTATTATTTTATTATATTGTTTTGCTGGTCTTTTTTTAATCACTGGCTCTTAACAGTTAGGCCTGTCGCAATAAACATTAAATCAATGAATTGCATGATAAATGAAAATTATCGACCTCATTTTCATTTGTTGGTTTTATCATTTCTTGTTCTCTCTCTTTCTACTGAAGACACTGGAAGACAAAAGGCTCAACTCCGGTGCTCTTTACTGACCCCTCCCTTTCTCTTTAAAATCTGTTTTAACGTCCAAAATCGTGTTTTTGGATCGTTAAAAGCAGCTAAGTTGAGAAGCTAAGCTACGAGTTAAGCTAACAGGCCAACCTTGGGGGAAAAAACCTCCGTCTTGTCAAAGCTCCAAAATTCACAGTTGAAACCTGTGCCTTGGTGTAAAAAGTTGTTTTTCTCTGCAAAAAGAAGCTGAGAACTTGTTTACTTATTTTTTTATTTTTATTAAAAGCTTTGTGTGATAAATGCTATGTTAAACAGCTCAAACCACACCGAGCGTCCACCATGTTGAGAACCGAAAAAAGGAACGAGAGTCAAGGGGCCTCCCTCCCATTTTTCTTCGAGACGCTGCTCGCTCCCTCACTATCAATCCTTCAGTTCAAACAGTCTTATACTGCCATCTAGTGATCAAAAATGTTACTACACACAAAAATTAACCAACATTTCTTCTTAAATTTTACAATAATTAGTAAGACAATAACAATGTTATGGTTTATCACAATAATTTCTGAGACGATTAATCGCCCAGCAAAACTTGTTATCATGACAGGCCTATTAACAGTGTCTTCTTTCTTTGGACTTAATCGCAGACATAACTAAAGTCTATGAACTAATGTGATGTTAGAAACCTGCAGGTTTCAGAAATCGGATGCAGCAAAAAAAAAAAAAGATCCAGGAGGTTGGAACAAAACATTGAAATGGTTGTTTAGGATGTAATTGTTCTGGTGTATAATTATTTATTATAGTTTGATATCTACTGTTTATTAATGTTTTCATTAATATCTCCTTTAAAGTTGTTAGATTAAAGGTTGTTTGGACCCTTCAGTTTGATTTCTGTCTCGTAGAATAACGATATTTGAGTGTGATTTTTGTGCAATGGGGAGGTCTGTGTTTAAATGTGCTGTAAGTATTTAATCCTCTTTGCTAGCCATGAGTGTAATTTATTTAATCCTGCATGTGCATGTTTTCTGTCTAGAACCCCTCTGGCATGTCCCAGCATCATCATCTCGAGGTCCAAGTGGCGGAGGGGGGCAGAGGAGACTAACCAGACAGGATATCCAGGGGAAAGACTCTCCGAACAGACACTCGAAGGTCAGACTCATCGTCAGTCTTAACTGTTTATCTATAACCTTCTCTGCCTCGCTGACCGAGTCCATTTGTCTGATGTCTTCGTGCCCCCTGCAGGGTGAGACTCAGTACTCCAGCCATTCCAGCAGCAACACTCTGTCCAGTAACGCATCCAGCGGCCACAGCGACGAGCGCTGGTTCGACGGGGGCCCTGCAGGAGAGCGAGGAGGCGAGCTAGTGGATCCCAACCCCGACATTCTCAACAAAGGAGGCTCCAATGACAGCGGCATTGACGCCTCCACTCACTACAGCAACGCTCACCATGGAAACATGTCCAACAGCCAGTCGCACAAGCTCACACACAGTCCTGCAACCTACAGCGGCATCCCAGAGCAGTCTGTGGGAAGGAGCAGCGGAGGTGGGGAGGCAAAGAGACGAGAATCTTCCCCTGTTTTTGCAGCTGCTGCCAGTCAGACCAAAGGATACCTGACAAAGACGTTCCCACTTCCAGGCTCCAGCACTGAGAAAAAAGATCCTTTCAAACCGAGGTAAGATTCTCTGATGAGACACATTCTTGTTTCAGGAAGCCGACATTAACTCAACAGAGTCTTGGAGTTTATTGCTTCTAGTTTCATCAAATTTATGTTTCCCAAGTAATAATAAGACACTTCTTATCTTTATTTTAACTAAAACTTTCAGTGCCACTTCCTGTATTTCTTGGATTATTTTCAATAACCCATAGAGGTATTTTTTAGGAGTACATGGAGCATTACAGCAGAATAATCCCTGGGAAACCTACAGATTATTGTGGGAACCCTGCAATTTAAACGCTTACACAAACACACGCTTGATGTTGGATTAAAGCAATCAGTGTTTAAAACCTTCGTGTCTCCAACCCTAACACTGCAGTCTGCACAGGAGTTGTGTACGTTTTGTCAAAATGTATTGTAAGCAAGACTTTGGTTTGCTTTGGTGTCCATAAATTTGCCTGAAAATATTATCTTTGTGAAGCTGATCTATTTCTACAGATTGTAACTGTACTTAGAGTTAAAATATAAATATTGTTTAAATTCTAATCATGTTTATTAAAAATATACATGTGATCTTTAGCAGCTCTTTAAATTTGATAAATAGAACAGATGGACAACAGCATATTAGACTGTTGTTGTTGTGGGGTTTTTTTGGGTTTTTTTTTACTGAACGATGATGAAGTCTTTGAAAAATTAAGCCCACTCTTAACCCTCAAAGAAGAAGAAGAAAGTGCTATGTGTTGTCATCATTGTATGTTCCCATACAGTGATGATATTAGTTCTCTGCATTTAACCCATCACATGTGAGATGCACCCAGGTGGAGCAGTGGGCAGTTACATATGTAAGCGCCCAGGGAGAAGTTAGGGATTAGGCGTCTTGCTCAAGGACACCGTGACATGTGAGCATGGTGGGAGTTGGACCTGTGATTTTTCTGGTCTCAAATCGGCTGTCCCACCTCAACACCATCTTGGCCCCTAAGCACCTTAGGGGACCAAACCTGTTCATTCTGCTTATTTCTTATTTTTAATTTTCAATATATCAGTCAGTTTAAAGACTAATTTCATGAAACTTGGCAAGGGTTTGTTTTTTAATATTGTTTTTTTTTTATTTGCTGGACCCCCCCCCCCCACACACACACACACACACACACACACACACACACACAATCGCTAGGTGTATAGAACAGGAGATCTGCCTTAAGGCCTGATTTGGTCCCATTGACTCTCATTATAATCACATCTTTTTGGTGTACTGTACTGTAATCCTGACATGATGTAATGCTTTTATCATGAATACCTCATAAGTCTAAGCCTCCACCTTCAAAATAAAGGGAAAATGGTAGGGGTGCACCGATTGCAGTTTTCTGGCCGATCACCAATTTCTAAAAAGTCTTGACTGCCGATACGATTTTGTTTTATAAGCGACACTGTCAGGTGTTATAAGGTCGCAATGCACCTTCAATTTTACATCCTTATTTTATTGAAAAACATACACTTGAACAATATCCTAGAAACAATCCAAACTTGTTTTAACTGGCCATGAGGTAGTGCTCTGGAATATAAATGAAGTTCAGACATTTGTTGTTAAAACTAAAAAAAAAATCGGTAAAATCGGTTTCTCATGTATCGGCCGATTTCTGATTTCCCAAAATTAAGGAGCACCCCTAGAAAATGGGCTTTAGTTGTGCAGAGGTAGTCCTTACTGAAACACTGACAGAACCTTAAGATGGCCGTGCAGATACAAATCCCTGCAAATCTCAATTAACTGGAGCAAGACTGTAAAGAAGAGTGGGCCAAAATTTCTCAACAATGGAGAGATGTACAAAAGACTAATAACACTGTTTTTGTAGCTGTAAAGGGTTTAGGAAGCTGTGTAATCACAACAGCTTCAGAATTTTAGCCTTTTTTTTTTTTTTTTTTTTTTAACTAAATAAATGTCACATGTTCTGTTTTTCTGTTGATTTGAGCATCTATTTACCTAATTTTAAGATCCTGAAAAGACTATATGATTTTGTAAAATGTCCAGATATTGATTTACTTGTAGCGGCTGAAAAACTGAAAAGGGTTGTATTTTCTTTTTACCAAAGCTGCTGCTTGTTTTCAAAGTGAAGCTGTTTTTCTTTGTTTTGATCAGTCCAGTTTCTGTGTTAAAATGTGTTGTTTTTTATTTTTTTAAATTTGTTTCATTATTTCTGCATCACTCTGTTTGCTTTTAAAGGGCGTACACACCACAGGGTTACAAGACTCCGACAGCAGAGAAAGCACGGCCTGTCCGAGCCTCTACAACCACGCCCACTTCATCTCAGATGAACTCCGCCCCTTTATCCAGCTCCGCCCCCAAGGCATTTTACGGAAAGAGCAAACCAGCTGCCCGACAAACAGAAGACAACACGTCGTCACATTCGAACACCACCAAAACGTTCACGTCTGACAGCAGCAACAAGAAGTAAGACGGATATCGAGAACTTGAATCAGATTTGGTCATTTCAGATCTTTAGCGGTGTAAAACTAAATCCTGTACAGTAACGAAATGGAAGTTCTTATTAGAAATCAAGACCCAGAGTTGTAAAATGTGATGCTATTTTCTTAGCAATAGAAAAGTAATTGAGAGCATGAAACAGGCTCAAACATGTCTCAAAGCTTTAGAAAAATATAGTTCAAATCAAAACCATTAGGTCTGATTGTCTTTGGTTACTGTAAAAAAATACACAAATATCTGATTAGTGTCTTGTCTCACCAGGCAGGTCGATTCAAACTCAAAAAACGTTTTTGGACAACCACGGCTCCGAGCATCACTGAGGGACCTGCGCTCTCCACGTCGGGCATATAAGAGTACCATCGAAGACGACCTGAAGAAGCTGATCATCATGGACGGCCCAGGAGAGTTGTCACAGAGCGATCCGGTGAGTGATCCCTCGTTTGTCACCCCTCAGCTGTGTTTCTGTCCAACTCTGACCTCTGCGACTTTCCCTCCTGACAGTCTCCCAGACACACCTTGCAACGCACTTTCTCCGACGAGTCACTGTGCAGCGGGCGCAGAGATGCCAGCTTTGCTTGCTCAGAGAACCAGATGACCCACACCGACTTGCTGTTCACCTGCACGCTGCCTACACGCAAACACTCGAGCTCCTCCAACCACACGCAGGGCAAAAAGAGTGAGTTACGGCTGACGTGTGTCAGATTGAAAACTTTTCCAGTTTGGTTTTCTTCACGCAGCTTGTTTCCTCCTTTCTGTCCTCAGTGCCGCTGTCTTCATCAGAGTTGTCCCTTACAGAAGTGAAAGACAAAGTTCCCCCTCTAAAAAGACTCGATCCTGGGCTGATGCCCCTCCCTGACACCGCCTGTGGACTGGAGTGGTCCAGCCTGGTTAATGCTGCTAAAGCCTACGAAGGTGAGGAGAGGAACAAATGCAGATTTGATTTGGCTAAACGTAGCATTTGATATATTTAACCAACACTCCTGAGAAAGAAAAGAGGGACTGTGCATTTATCACCCACTTTTCTTACTTTTAATTTAAAAATCTCAACCTGTAACATTCCTCACTTGCGTCATGTTGTAGATTTCTAACAATAAAAAGATCTGCTGTGTTTTATCTTTTTGAGCATTTGATCATGTGTCTGCTGCAGCACAAAGAGCGGTTTCCCTCATATCACTGACTGAGCCGCAGCCAGGAGGTCCAGAAACGAGACCAGTCATGAGTCCGGTCCAGTTTCAGACTCCTCAGACACCACGGACCACACCAACGTTCAGTGGGTAGGTGTGACTCGCTGTTAGAAAGCTGAAACTGACAGAATTTAGTAGAACATTAATGTTTCTCCTCTGAACATTTACTATATTTTCCAGCCTATAAGTTGCAGTTTTTTGCATAATTTGCATGCCGTGCAACTTATACACCAAAGCAACTTATTTACGTTTTTTTTTCTTTCATATTTATAAACCAATTTTTGGCTGAGATACGACTGCTTTCATTCATTCGAATTGAAAATATTGAACACTACCATTTTCACTCACTAGATGGCACTCAAGTAGTATGGTATGCCATTGTGTCATGTAATAGATAAAAGTGTCTATTAATGACACATTTGGCTTGCCAAAGCCTGCCACCTTTGTCCAGCTCACCTGGAGCAACCATCAAATTGGCTTCATTTCTCTACGCCGCCCTGGCAAAATGCAGCTGATTTGACGATTAAAGTGCATTTATTAAGTAAAAGTTCAACTGAGACACACCTTTATTATAAAGTTGAGCAAGCAAATAATCGTTTGAATTGCTTATCTTGTTCAATTTCAAAGAAATGTGCAGCATTCCTCCTTCCTGATTTCCTGCCTCTGCGTGCTCCCGGAGCATCGAGGCAGCGAATGCTTTTGAAATGCAGCTGATTTGACCTTTAAAGTCCTTTTATTAAAGAAAAATTAAACTGAGACACACCTTTACTATACAGTCGACCACACAAATAATTGTTTTAAGTGTTAAACTTGTTAAATTCTTGTTAAAGTCCTCCCGTGCACGGCCACCATTTGGCAGCCAATCGATTTTTGGCACAACATCGGCCCACATTTCTGGGTTCGGCCCACATTTCCGAGTTGTCGGCGTTAACGCGTAATAGATGCAAAGTATATAGCAAAACAACTTGTTTATGTTGTTTTTTTCACTTTATTAGACATATTTGGACTGATGCTACTTACACGTGTCATGTACGATATAAAATACGATGGTTTTAGACCCTTTTTAATCCCAGTGCTGCCCCCTTGTGGTTGTTTACTGAACTCTGTTTTTAAGGACGTGAGGGTTTTTCTTTAATAAACTTGTGTGAAAGTTTGTGTCAGTGATCTGCAAACACCCTTGCTGACAGTGGAGAGTTGTAATGAGTTTGGCGTGATCTAAAAGATCTCAGTAACATGTGCTGTGTGTGTTTACAGCGATGAGGTGCCCAACAACGTGTCCGGTCGGCTCTACCACCTAGAAGTGATGCTAAAACAACTGAACAATGATCTAGAAAGGGTGAGACAAAAGAATATGATGGTAATGTTATGTGCAATGTTTACAGCACTATGTTGGATTACACACTCTGCAGGAAAAACATACCAAACGGATCAGCCATTATTTATGTCCTCACTCTCTGCTTCTCGACCACCAGGAGAAGCAGGATAAAGTCATCCTGCTGGCAGAGATGGCAAACCTGAGAGAGAACAACCAGCGCCTGCAGGAGGAGAGCCAGACGGCCAGCGAGCAGCTGCGCAAGTTCAGCGTGCTCTTCACCAACATCAAAACTGGAAGCGACCACGAGGCTTGCGCCGTGACACACAGCAGCTCACAGAGGGAGTGATGGACCAATGCAGCGAACCGTCAAGTTCAGGCCTGCGAGAAACCCAAAGTTCCCATGATTTTTTGCACTCACAGGTGCGGCAGAGGACGCAATGATGTCGACCCCTCAGCTCCCACTGAACTGCCTTAAACCAGAGACAGTGACAAAAAAAAAAGAAAATAACAAAATGACCAGCTGGATTTATAAAAAGCAACACCCCCAGAAAGTCTGGGCAGCGACCCTCCCCGCCCCCTTCTGTTCTCTGAGCCCCGTTTATTTTTCTAAACTGAAGTGTAGACATCTCACTGTACTTACGATGAATAAGAATACGTTACTATGCCACAGGAGCGACCGGGAGAGGAGACCCTGACTGTTTTAACAGAACTCTACATCACCTGGAGAGGCCTAACACTGTCTGTGCAGCAAACCAGCCAAAACACAAAACAATTCAAACAAAACACAAAACAATTCAAACAAAACACATCTACAGACTGCATTTCCCAGAATGCACTACAAGTAACTGAAGGTCTACAGATGTGGTGCTGTAGACAGATGCCTGTGTGGTACAATTCTCATGCATCAACATTATCACAGTTGTCCTGAAGAGACGAGAGATGGTACAAAATCACAGCACTGCTGGGTTTGTGCTCGAGGTATTTAAGTGTGTGTGTGTGTGTGTGTGTGTGTGTGTGTGTGTGTGTGTGTGTGTGCGCGCGCGCGACATGAACAAACCTGTTTACAGTAATCTGAGACTTCAGGCCACGATATTCTCCTGTCCTCTGTTGGATGAAGTGTGGCTCGTAGATGTGAAACAAGCCACCGTTGTGCTGACGAGACGCTCGCGTCACCAACTCAATGAAACGTTAACATGTTGCTTCAACTTGAACGTCCTCCTGCTGTGAGTGGTCCCTTTCATCTCAGATCCAAACATACTGGGTCATTAGTTTGATCCTGAGTTATTACTGGACGCGTTTTATAAAAGAGTGAGGACATTGTGAGAATGACACCGTCATTCAGTGGTAAATAACTGATCGTTGTAGGGCTGCATACAAACAAAGGTAACTGAAGACTTGTTTATGTTCATCAGGTTGTTCAAATAATTGTGAATATGTTACAGGGGTGCACCTGTTGCAGTTTTCTGGCCGATCACTGATCTCTTAAAAAGCCTGACCTACCTTAGTTTTCTAAGCGACACTGTCAGGAGTTATAAGGTCACAATGCACCTTCAGTTTTACAATCTTATTTTATTGATAAACACCCTTGAGCAATATCCTAGAAGCAATACAAACTTGTTTTAACTGGCCATGAGGTAGTGCTCTGAAATATAAATCAAGTTTAGACAATTGTTTTTAAAACTACAAAAAGTCGGTTTCTCACGTATCAGCGGATCGCCGAAAATTAAGGAAACCGGTGCCCCGATTCATCGGTGCACCCCTAATTATTGCCATACTTGAAAGGAAAGTGTGCCTTCTTAGTTTAACATAATTACCATTGGCTTGGAAATCAATTTCCTTTAACAAAGTCATTTTACAATAAAACCGTTGCTGTGTGTTAACCAGCCACCAAGGATAAGGAGCTCTGTCGCCGTTCACATGTTTGACAGGAAGCTGTGCATGAAAGTCTGAACAACACTGAAGCTCCTCCAGGACCTGTGTGTGTGTGTGTGCGCGCGTGCGTGTGTGTGTGTGTGGTCATTCCTATAATCTGTAATGAACACAAAACTATTTCTACAGCTGGCTTCCCTGATGATATTTACCATATCTATTTTTCCAACAGAAACGTGTCTTTGTTTGGATCCTGGTACTTTGTGGGCGATTAGATAAAAATTTTCTGATGAACAAAAGATTTTCTTGTGCGTTCTGATGGACCCGTCATGAACAGGACTCCAGCTCTAAAGTCAGATCAGACTGCATCAGTCTGAATTCTCCAACTTACTCAGGTTCCTTTAGATGCTGTTAACGACACTAAATCACCATCTGAAACTTTGTGCTGCTGCTTGTACAATTTGAGGCATCCCTTTAATAATTCCAGGGCGCAGGAGGTTTGAAAGACGACTGATATAAAGGATCTCTGAATCTGCCCTTCAGGCCAGAAACAGGCGGCTTTTTTAACGTGAGCTTTTTGTCTTATTAACGGTTGTTTTCCATTAACTTACTAAATGCAAATGCTGTGATGAGATGTTTAAAATTTTTACTGTCGATTCGTGCTTTTAAAAACTCTTCGACTCACGAACAGACACGTTGGGACTCGTCTGTCTGTCCAACACATTAGCTTTAAGTCATCTCATCGTTTGATCTTCTGAAGCTTTGGTTTTTTTTTTTGTTGTTTTTACTGTTTTGGATCGCTCTGCTGTCGGACCTCTCAGCATCTTCAGCTCCCGTCTTGTTTCAGGTTTATCGTGTAGGAAATCCTTCGTCCACGCAGCTTTCTGAGACGTGTTGCTGTGAATTTAGTTGTTTGCTTCTGTACAAGGGTTGCTTTCTTTTTATAAATGTCTAAATATGTCATGCTCACGTTATGTATGATTTAAAGCTATTTAAGGTATACACAAATTTGCTGAACAAGATAGTGATTGGTAAAATTGACATTTTTTTAGGTTTAATATTGTTTTTTTTTTATAATTTATTTTTGAACATGTTGGCCACTGTTGCAGAAAGTAGTGAAGATGAGAAGGTACCGTTTTTACCTTTGATTTGTGCGTTTCATGTTGTCTGACGTGTGCGGCGGCAGCAGACGAAACATTTTGGTTCTCTTTGGGTTGTAATAACTTGTACATTTAAAAGTGTAAATTATGTTTTCATTATTTTATAAAAAAAAATATATATTAAAATAATTGTAAGAACATTTTGAGTGTTTCCAAGTTATTTTTATATAAACCAGAAATGTGGCTATAACATAATTTTAATCAAAATAAACAAAATATTAATGGAAGGCGGAGCGTGTCTCCCAGCAGGTGTTGCAGCTGATTTGGACACACAGTATAAATGTCAGTGACCTGTTAGAGCTTGGAGCATGTGTTGGGACTGACTCTCAGCTACTGCCATGACACATTTCGGTGCAATATCTGTAAAATTGGCTGAGTTGTATCTGAATAGGATTTACTTCAAACGTTAATCAGATTTGCAACCATTGAGGGTAAAATCCTGCCACTGGCTCTTGAGATATTTTGCTAACACAAAGAACATCGCCTTAAGCCAGAGGAAATGAAAAGAACTTAAAAATGACTTGACTACTTTTCATAAATTAGGTTCTTACTATGCAGGAGTCCCAGTATTTTTTTCATTTAGCCTTTATTTATCCAGGTTAGTCTCATTGAGCCACGAGAACTCATTTTCAAGAGAGACCTGTTTAGGGAGCACATGGTGGGGGTTAAGGGCCTTGCTCATGGGCCCAGAGTGGGGCGAATGAGGGTGGGGGCAAGTGTGGGTGTTTCACCTACCCCCCCCACAATTTTGATGTTGTCGGGGCCGGGGCGTGAACCGGCGATCTTCGGATCACAAGCCCACCTCTCTAACCTCTGCGCCACCACTCCCCAGTATGAAAGGCTGTTGTATCAAATAATCAATCTACTTTTTCTAGCTATTAAAAACAGCATTCCTCTTATTAAAAATTAGTCTTAATAGTGAGTTTAGATTAGAGCTTACGAAAATATTGAGCTTTCCATAAACCTGTTATTCAGATAAACCAAAATTTAAACTTCTGCTTTACAAACTCTGGTGAAAATAAACATTTGAAATATTCAGAATACATTTTTTCATACTAACAATTTCCTCTTCAGATATTTTAAATTGTATTTTTTCTGTCTCTCTCCAGTGTATTGGACTTTTTGCTTCTCATTTCCATAAAAACAAATAAATACCTAAACAATTAACTTATTTTTTTTCTTATAACAAACTGACTTTATTTCCAACATAAAATACATTGCAGCAGCAAGAGCGTTCACTCTTATTTGATGTTAGCGAGTTAATGTTCAGCTAAATTCTTTCTGAACGGGCATAAAAACAGGTCAAGTATGAACAGTTCTGGGAGGATTCGAACATCAGGCACGTCTTCAGCCAACAGGTGATGGAGGTTAAGATCCGCAGGCGAGGCACTCGTCTCTGTTCTCCAGCGAACACACCATGGCAGCTTTGTTCCTCTCCTTGATCTCCTGCTCGGAGGCCTTGTTTGGCTGCGCCTCCTTCAGCTTCTCCTTGTTCAGGGTGAACTGGATGGGGTTAGCGGCGGGTTTTGTCCTCAGGTAGTACATGCCCGTCTTCAAGCCCTGTGTTGAAACGACAACCCGTAGAATCAGCGGGTGTTTTAAGAGTCTTAACTTGTTGCCCCACAGGCGTTAGCTCACCTGTTTCCAGCCGTAGAAGTGCATGCTGGTCAGTTTTCCGTAGTTTGGCTCGGCGATGTGGATGTTAAGAGACTGGCTCTGGTCGATGTAGGCGCCGCGGTCGGCAGCCATCTTTAGAACGGTCTTTTGGGAGATTTCCCAGACGGTTTTATACAGCTGTTTCAAATCAGCTGGGATCTCACTGATGTCCTGTCAATGGAAAACAACAACAACAAAAAATCTTTATTTACCGTTTAAAATCCTAAAAACAATTAATAATTCAGCTCCGGCAACATTAAAATCCAAACAGCTCAAGAAGTGTATTAGAAACTTCTCATCACCTGAATGGATCCATTGTTGGCGATCAGCTTGTTCTTCATCTCCTCGCTCCACAGGCCCCTCTCCGTCAGGTCTTTGAGCAGATGGGGGTTGACGATCTGGAACTCTCCGGAGAGGACCCTGCGGGTGTAGATGTTGCTGGTGTAGGCTTCGATGGACTCGTTGTTGCCCAGGATCTGGGCGGTGGAGGCCGTGGGCATTGGCGCCAGCAGCAGGCAGTTCCTCACACCGTGTCTGGCGATCTTCTCCTTCAGCAGCTTCCAGTCCCACAGGTCCGTCGGCGTCTTGTCCCACATGTCGTACTGCAGGACGCCCCTGCTGACGGGGGAGCCTTCGTAGGTCTCGTAGGGGCCGAGCTCGGCCGCTAGCTCACAGCTCGCCTCCAAAGCAGCGTAGTAGATGGTCTCAAACATCTGGATGTTGAGCAGCTGAGCCTCAGGGCTTTCAAACGGGTAACGCATCAAGATGAAGGCATCTGCTAAACCCTGGACTCCAATTCCTATTGGCCTGTGGCGCTTGTTAGACGTCTCGGCTTCAGGAACCGGGTAATAGTTGATTTCAATGATCTTGTTCAGGTTTTTGACGATCACTTTGGTCACAGATGCCAGTTTTTTAAAGTCAAAAGTCTGCTCTGGTGTGACGTACATGTTGAGAGCGATGGAGGCCAGATTACAAACAGCCACCTCGTCTTTGCTGGTGTACTCCACGACTTCCGTGCACAGGTTGCTGCATTTAATGGTGCCCAGGTTCTGCTGGTTGCTCTTCCGGTTGCATGCGTCTTTGTACAACATGTACGGCGTTCCAGTCTCCGTCTGGGACTCGATGATAGCGTACCAAAGCTGCTGAGCTTTCACCACACGCTTCACCCTCCCCTCCTTTTCATACGCAATGTAAAGCTTCTCAAACTCCTCCCCCCAGCACTCGTCAAGCCCCGGACACTCGTTGGGACACATCAGAGACCAGTCTTGGTTGCTCTCCACCCGCTTCATGAACAGGTCAGGGATCCACAGGGCGTAGAAGAGGTCTCTGGCTCTCTGCTCCTCTTTCCCCGTGTTCTTCTTCAGCTCCAGGAAGTCAAACACATCGAAGTGCCACGGCTCCAAATACATGGCGAAGGCTCCGGGTCTTTTGTTGCCGCCTTGATCAACGTAGCGAGCAGTATTGTTGTAAACTCTCAGCATGGGGACCAGCCCGTTCGAGTTCCCATTGGTGCCGGCGATGTAGCTCCCAGTTGATCTGATGCAGCTGACGGCTACGCCTATGCCTCCAGCCGATTTGGAAATGAGGGCGCACTGCTTCAGGGTGTCATAAATGCCTTCAATGCTGTCATCTTTCATGGCGAGCAAGAAGCAGCTGGACAGCTGTGGCCGATTGGTTCCAGCGTTGAAGAGGGTCGGAGAGGCGTGGGTGAACCACTTCTCTGACAGCAGGTTGTACGTCTCGATGGCAGCGTTGATATCCGTCCCATGGATCCCAACAGACACCCTCATGAGCATGTGCTGCGGGCGCTCGGCCACCTTGCCGTTGATCTTCAACAGGTAGGAGCGCTCCAGAGTCTTGAACCCGAAGAAGTTGTAGGAGAAATCTCGATCGTAAATTATGGCCGAATTGAGGCGGTCTTTGTTCTCCAGAACGATGTCGAGCGTGTCTTTGGAGATCATGGGGGAGTGGCGTTTGTTCAGAGGGTTTATGTATGCGTGCAGGTCTTCCATCACGTCGCTGAACACTTTCTTGGTCTCTTTGTGCAGGTTTGAGACGGCGATCCTCGCGGCGAGAATGGCGTAGTCGGGGTGTTTAGTCGTCAGCGTGGCGGCGATCTCGGCCGCCAGCGTGTCGAGCTCCACGGTAGTGACTCCACTGTACAAACCCTGGATCACCTTCATGGTGATCTGAGCTGGGTCCACAAACTCAGAGTTCAGTCCGTAGCAAAGCTTCTGGATACGGGAGGTGATTTTATCAAACATGACTCGCTCTTGGCGTCCATCTGATTAAATAAATAAATAAATAAAAAACAGAAAAACATATTGGTGACCTCAATGTTGGAAGATGTGAACAACATACTAGGTATTACTATTCAGTACTAGTTTAATACCATTTACATTTAATCCGAAAAAGTTCAATCTGGTCCTCTGGACATTCAAAAAAACAAAACAAAG